AACAGGCTAAAGAACAGCTGTTTTGCATAGTTTCACCTGACTCTGGGAACAGGGGCTGTCTCTAGTGGCCTGGTACTGCAGTGGCCAAGGCAAGTGGAAAGCCCCAAAAAGAAGACCTGGAGGCAGATTTTGCATTGATTAGTCCACGTATGAAAAGAACTTGCACAAATGAGTTCTCTACTGTCTGAAGGGATAGTGAAGAGATTGACTGGTCTTTGGAAGGGCATCTCCTCAGGGTCAAGGAAGGCCCAAACTGCACAGCTTTGGAATATGGAGTGCACACGGTCAGAGAAGCATAAGCAGCACAGTCAGTGAGATGAAAACAGATGTGGTCTCAGGAAACAAACATAAAGGCTGCTTTTAAAATAGCAGTGTCACAGCATCAAAGATGCTGACCTGTCCAGGAAGACCAGGACTGAAAGTCAACCACTTTATTTGGGAGCACAGTCCGAGGAAGTTTTAGTAGAGAAGGCCTCCTCTCAGATGGAAAAGACCCCATGTCTCCCCTCTCAAAGTAGCCCTCATTCCTCCCAACCCCCAGCATATCCCACAGGGCATCTTGTTGAAGAACGGAGAAAGAAGTACACACTGTATTTGAATAATTCTACTAGATTAGACCAAAATAGGGGACTCCTTGATTACCCAAAATGATGTGTTTCATGTAGCTAACAGACACCAGGCCCTTTAGCAAAAAAAGAAAAACACTATGTATTTCTTTCCATATCCTAGCTGTGCGTTAGTAACCCTCAGCAAGCTTTTAGTATTATAAATGTCAGCCATCTGTGACTGGAAGGCCTTGGGTTTAGGTACTCAGGGCTCAGTGAGAGACTGCCCAGAGCCAGCCTCTTCACCCTTGCTAGCTGAAAGGGACCATGCTGTCATGAGCTGAGCTCAGCTCACAAAGCCTCAGCTCCAAGCAGGTCCTTATGAGGAGGAAGCAGCACGCAGATCCTCGTGGAACCACTAGGCCATCTTTCTAGATGCTGTGATTTCCTCAGCCTTCCCCCATTCTCCTGTCCTCCCACCCAGAGTAACAAAAAGTTCATTCTGGGAACCTGAATTCGGGCACTTGTGAGAAGGAGGCACTGCAGCTGTCTCCTCCCCGAGGCTGTAGCCTCTCAAACTATCTCTTCGGGGCACAGAAACCATTTCATAGAGAGCAGGGTACTTGTGTCCTCAGACCAGGCACCAGGCTGGCACAGCCCCAGTCTTCTTTCTAATGCAGATGTCCTTTTTTAAATGATAAAATCCCCTTTATTTTTTTCTCTTCTTAAAAATACATTTGTACAGAACAGATTTGTGTTTATAGAGAGACATTAAGTGGTTTTCTGGCATCATTTTAAAGTCATTTAGAGAGGATGAGAAATTGGGGGTGGGGGCTAATGTGGAATTGCATAGGTAGACCTTAATAGCTTTCAAATATCAGAAAGGTTATTAAAAGCATCACAGGACAGGGGCTTTAGTTCATAAATGGAAAACACAGGAATCAAAAGGACTTCAGAGGGCATTTTGGTTAGAAGGAATAAAAGTGAGACAGCACAAGGCTAAGAATAACACAGAAGAATGGATTTTCCTGTGGAAATTACCAAGAATAAGGAGAGTGGTTGACCGAACACAAGTCCAAGACTCTTAGTAGGCAAGGTAGGCCTTGGGCTCCCCCTTGAGGGCTGGGCAGAACTTAAGAAGAAAGGAAAGCAGAGCCGAGAGCAGGAGAAGATAACCAGTGTGGACAAAGACTGGAACAATGGAGATTTCTAGGTGAAAGCCAGAGTTATGACGAAAACATGTGCAGGAGCCAGGGGAGGTGCTGTGCCAATTCAGCTCAAAGATGACAACGTCGCCAGCCATCTTTTCTCTGACGGTCCTCTAGCTCCAAGTCTGCTTTCAGAAATCTAAGAACAAGAAGGATATATCTTCTCTATCCCGAATAGAACTGTGGTATTAACATTCTTTTTTTTAAAAAAAATATTGTTTTTATTGAGCTATATAATTTTCTCCACTACCCTCCCTTTTCTCCCCCCCCCCCTTCTACCCTCTCTCATGGTCTCCATGCTCCCAATTTAATCAGGAGATCTTGTCTTTTTCTACTTCCCATGTACATTAGATCCATGTATGTCTCTCTTAGGGACCTCTTTGTTGTCTAGGTTCTCTGGGATTGTGAATTGTAAGCTGATTTTTTAAAATTTACTTCTATGAGTCATTTATGGGTGAGTACATATGATATTTATCTTTCTGGGTCTGGGTTCCCTCACTCAACATATGTTTTCTAGACCTATCCATTTGCCCCAAAATTACAAGATGTCATTATTTTTCCTGCTGTGTAGTACTTCATTGTATAAATGCACCACATTTTCCTTATCCATTTTTCAGTAGAGGGGTGTTTAGGTTGTTTCCAGGTTCTGGCTATGACAAACAATGCTGCTATGAACATAGCTGAGCACATGGCCTTGTGGCACAATTGAGCATCCTTTGGATATATACCCAAAAGTGGTATTGCTGGGTCTTGACGAAGGTTATTTCCTAATTTTCTGAGAAATCACCATACTGATATACAAAGAGGCTGTACTAGCTTGCCCTCCCACCAGCAATGCAGGAGTGTTCCCTTTACCCCACAACCTCTCCAGCATAAGTTGTCATCAGTGCTTTTGATCTTGGCCATTCTTACAGGTGTAAGATGGAATCGCAGAGTTGTTTTGATTTGCATTTCTCTGATGACTAAGGATGTTGAACATTTCCTTAAACATTTTTCAGCCATTTTAGATTCCTCTGTTGAGAATTATCTGTTTAGGTTTGTACCCCATTTTTAATGGGCTATTTGTTCTTTTGATGACCAATTTCTTGAGGTCTTTGTATATTTTGGAGATCAGTCCTCTGTATGATGTGGTAATGGTGTAGATTTTTCCCCCATTCTGTAGGCTGCTGTTTTGTTTTATTTTTTTATGCTTGGCACATTTATTTATTTATTTACTTATCATTTCTTGAGACAAAGTTTCTCTGTAACTTTGGAGCCTGTCCTGGAGCTCGCTCTGCTCTGTAGATCAGGCTAGCCTTGAGCTCACAGGGATCCACCTGTCTCTGCCTCTCAAGTGCTGGGATTAAAGGCATGTGTCACCACCACTGGGCTATATTTGGTACTTATAATAAGAATAAGCAGGTCCTTAGCTTTCCAGTAACCATTTGTACCATTAGTAACTGTGACCAAATGCTCATGTTCACAACAAATGAAGAAAACTTGCTGGTGAACATGGCACTCTACAGTTGGTTCTAACCCTGAGACCTGACTGCATCCGTAGTAATCAGTGTGCCAAAAACTTGTTTGGATTTTTTTCATTGTTTTTAATGAGCTATACATTTTTCTCTGCTCCGCTAAAAAGATTGTAAACAATCTGGAATTGATATTAGGACTTGAATTTTTAAAATAATTGTCACTATATAGTAATAATACCTGAAATTAGAGCAGGTTCAAGATTTACACATCACAAGGCTTTGCTATCTAGGGAGGTGTGGGGACTAAACCATGACAACTGGATTGTTCACTGCCCTCCTACCCCCCAATCTAAGTGTACCCAGGGATTGCCACAGCTGCACCGTGCGCACAAGACATGAAATGGTAAGAAGGCTGTCAAAGAGCAGAGGTCCTTCTCTCAGAGTTATGTGAGGCCCACCATCACAGCCATGCCATGAAAAAGCATGTCACTTCTCAGAGAGCTCCTTGGAGCTTACTGACGTGTGCCTGAGCCTCTCTGAGAGGTGTCCATTCTCCATGAATAGCATATTACAATAAAGGACATTCCATGCCATGCTAATTCAGTGACACTGGAATCTATACTACGGTTTCCAGGTCCTCTGTCAACAGTGGTGCTGACAAACCCAGAATCACTCCACAGCTCAGGCTAACACTCCGATAACTTGTGTGTTCTCAGAAGGGATGCAAGGATTACTCCAAAACGTTGAGAACACATCACAGCAGGTGCACGAGGCTGAGGTGATAGAGCTAGGCAGATGTAAATGCAAACACTGAAGATATACTTGCCATTTGTGTGACCTGGGACAGATTACTCTGTGCCTTAGTTCCCTTGCATATTAATGGAAATTAACAGTACTTGTCTTACGGAACCTTTCTGAAGTGAAACAAGACATAAGGTATTTGCTTAGTACAGTACCTGACATGAAATATATTCCTGACACCCAATTTTTCTATCTGAAATGTATTGTTAATATAAGATTTCTCTTTGCTAAATGTCTGAATTAACTGCTCAGTAGTGTCATTTCTTAGCTAATAAGAGTTATATTTGTTATACAGAATGCATCTCTTGAAAGCCATATTCTCACCTAAGAAGTAAGGGCGATTCCACTTGCCTTACTAATATCAAAAAGCAAGAAGAGTCAACAATATGAGACAGCGCTCTGATGCCTGAAGAGTTGCACATCTGTGAGTGATTCAATTGGCATTTCAACCTGCAGCTCCTTCCTGAAATAAGTTTGCCACTATTGCCAAGGATAAACAGGCATGTCATAACCCCCATATCATGACTCAAGGAAGCTGCTTTTAATTATTTTAACCACACAGTGACTCACTATCTTCATGTGATGATTCACATGCTTTAGTCTGAAAACGCTGCTTCTGGATTATTTTCAGAAGTTTCTGTTGAGCCCCTTCTTAGCACAGTCACGACGTGGATGGTAGATAAGATGAGAGTTAATATTTCACTCAACTTTAGCCCAATCATGTGTTTATACCTAATTTAGACCATCCACTCATTTAGTCGTGAATTAGAAGCATCATGGCGCAGCTGATGAAGCAAGCCGAGGATCAGAATAGCAATGGAGCCAAGTCTAGCATGAATCTTCAACCATGTTTCTTACCTTTGTGAACTTGGTAATGGTATTCCTACCACTCAAACAAGACAGAGGCCTGAAGAAGCAGAGCACAGCCCTGGATATAGGACAGTTCTCTAGGAAAGAACAGTATACACTGGTACCCAACAGCACGTACTCACAGATCACAGGTGCCAGCTCTAGCAGGAAGGAGATGCACAAGCTGCAGCAGAAGCTTCACTCCGTTTTGCCATTCTTCTTCTCTTTCAAATTCACAGTACAAGTAGCTACATTCCTCCGAAGAAAATTGGTAGAAAACATAGTTATCTTGAAAGTACAGATGTTGGTCCACTGTTTGAAGCAAACAAACAAAAATGTCATGCTTTAGAGTCATAAATCAAATCAAATAATAAAGTCCAGTGATTAGTAAGAGACCAAAGGTAACATTCATTCACCCTTGCACTCTCAATAAAATGAAAGGACACATTTATTAATTTCACTGCTTGAACTTTGACCAATATATCCACATGTTTTATAAGTTTTCTGCTTCACAGACATGTGCTGGTCAACTTAATATCAATTCAAAGAGGGTGGCAAAAAATGCTACACAAACACTGCATGATAGCAAGTTCCAGTTAGCAAAATTAGTGGCTCTCAAGTAGAAATGATTGTGCATCACTGCTTCGGGGGACACATGGTGATGCCTAGAGACATCTTTGGTAGTCATAATGAAAGGATGTGCTCCTAGATCTACAAGGAAAAGGAAATAGGTGATGCCAAAAGCCCGACATGCACAGCACAGTCCTCCCACAACGAAGAACTCCCTAACTTAGAATGTCAACACCATCAATGCTGGGGAATCCTGTTTTAAATGAATCTGAAGTTAGGGGTTTGTCTCAAAAGGCATTTGCACAAAATGTGTCACCAACCATAAGCCTGCTCCTCAAAAGTGTTAACCTAAAAGGATTAGGTGCTAGGTGTTACCAAGAAGACTAAAACCATGCGAGCATCTATGCTGTTCTTTCACAATGACACCAAGACTTGCCCTTCATATTTACTATCTATAGAAACAAGGGTTTTTCAGTACCAACTAGCAACTGAGAGATTGAAATAAATAAAGAACAAATGGCTTCGACTGCTTCAATTAAATTCTCTAGGTTCAACTAAGAAGAGAGACTGTTATCTACTTTAGCTTCTACATCATTTTCTGTTCCATTTGAAGAACTAATCTTCACAGCTCACATATCTAAGTGTTTGTGATTACTTAATTAAAATAATGCACATACATACTCATAAATCAGTTTCTGATTACATACAGCATGATAAACCATTCTTTTGAAGCAACAAAAGACATAACTGACAAAAGAAGTTTATGAGCAGAGTTGACAAGAAAGGAAGGCAATGCCTTTTACAGGTTTATGTCTACAATCTACAAGTACTTAAGTATTTTCTCAGAAGGTGTGGCAAAAATAAATGGATCAAAAATGATGTGTCATTTTTACTTAAAATATAAGAATGTAAACATTTAACTTCAAGACTAATTTCCATCCAGATTATAACATGCTTTGGTCTAGCAGTTTAACAAAGCAACAATTGTGTCTTTAATATGAACGCTCACCTGAAGACATAATTCCCATATCCAGTAGGAGCTGCCAGACCCCAATGGCCATAGATCTACACTGGACGAAAGGGCAGTGTTCTAGAAGCCAGTCAACCAGCTCTGACCCCACACAGCTTCTCCTGGACCAAAACAAAGCCATAAGCAATGAGAAGTTCACAGCACACAGTAAAATCTTGAAACATACTTGATTGAACAAATGAAGAAATAAAATTAGCGGCTCTTTATATAAAGGGACTTCAGATTGGTGATGAGGAACTTTCACTCGGACATTTTGGGACTTTTTGCCTGCTCCCTTTGGTAACAAAAGGATTCCATAAAGGTTCAACAAAACTGGACCAGACTGCAGCCTAGAGTTTTGTTCAATGTTCTTTAAAGATTAGACTCTAACACTTGTTTCAAAGAACAGAAAACTTGACTGTTAACCATTTTAATGAAAGCAAAGCAACCCCATTAAGGAGCCTAAATCATAAACACAGGAAGCCAAATGTGTGTGCTGGATTCCACTAACCACACACAGTCATCTCTGTAATTAGATTTGAAACATACACCAAATCCCACAGTCGATTACAAGCAGTATCATCAAGTCAACTTTTCCATTTGTGTGGGCCTCTGAGGAAAAAAAAAGAAAAAGAAAACTTTTTGAAATACAGGTTTTCATTTGCAGAGGAATCTAATTTATACTTTTTCTCCAGCACAAAGGTCGCTAGAGTGCTGTAAGAAAGAGAGAGCAGGAGAAGGAGGGAGGGAGGGAATGCCTCGTACACTGTGGACCCTTATTCTGCAGACACTGCGGAGGGGTGAGAATGTAGTGTTGTGTTGGCTCACTCTTGTGACTGACACAGTACGAGCATCCATACCAAGACTTGCTATGAAGAGCTGCACTTGTGCTGAGCACTGGCTTCAGGGATCCAGCTTTTGTTAAAGCATGTTGATTTCTGGTCAAGTGTCATTACTTAAAAGATGCTCCAAGGCAATGAAGACAATTCCAAACACGCTCAGTGGCAGGTTACCATTAAAACGATAGAAAGATAAGAATTCAGATATGTGGAGTCTTTTAAATGAGGACACAGGTGGCAAGAAAACAGGCAATTAGACCAAACAGTCAATATTAACACTAACTCTACAGGAAGGAATCGAAGTGTTAATTAACTAATTACTCAGGGCTTCTTTCAATTAGCCAGCATCTTTTCACCTTTGAAAGCACTTTCGTTCGTGGGTTAAATACTATGTTATCTTTTTATTTTATATTTTCAAAACACAGAGGCTCATCAGCCTTCTCTGAGTGTCTGCTTGGCACACAGAAGCCCACAATACAGCATTTGCTCAACAAACGAGACCTCCACATTGTGAAGAGGTCTTTTCAACAACACTGCTCAGCAGTTCCAGGGAGGATGGGCAAGGGTGCTGTCGACTGTGGATTCTCATACATCAAAGCCAAATGGAAACTGAGAAACCCACTCCTATCAGACCCCTTAGGTGCTGCTACTGACCACAAAGCCCAGACTCCTTAGCTTCCCTTTCTCATTATGAAGGGTTCACCCTGTTTGAGGCATAGGCTTGGCACAAATATGCTAAAACACAGAATTGCCATGACAACCTTAATGGAAAACTGGGTACCACTCACCAACAAGCTACTGTTTCAATTCCATGTGGTTCCTTTCTGCCCCTCCCTAAATCTCACCATTATGTTTTAAATTTCTCCAACCATCCATCTGGCCATGAAAAATATTAGAGACAAGGAGAAAGTCTGCCCTTAAAATCTTTAATTCCTAGTCTTCTGACTTGTTGACCAGGTCTACAACAATCCAGTTCAAAGCCTCAGTCTACAGGGCAGAGGGGAGCAGAGAGGATGAAAACTGAAACCGCTGGAGCAGAGGGATCTGAATGCTGCCAGCGGCTCTTAGCCACCCTGCATTTTCAGCCCGGCATTCCATCTGCCATAACGTGTAGTGGAGCTGCCACTTGGAGGTGATGCGCTACAGAACCACGTGACCCTGCATACAGCTGAATTTTACCCATTTCTGCAGGGGAAAATTTGTTTTCCTTGACCTCTTCCTTTCTTTCATTATGGTTTGCAATCAGTCTGTGGTAGCACAGATACTAAACTTTAAAGCACAAATAAGGTGGTGGTATTTAGTGATTCATCTACATAAAAGGAAATAGGGGCTCAGAAACAAACACGCTTTTTCTATAGTACAAACTGCATAGAATCTTTCCAAAGCTTTCGCTGTGGATTCTCATATGGCATATGGGAACACAGGACCTCAGCTGATGATCAGACACATGTAAATGACCCATTCCAGGCAGCCATATTAGTATTTTATCTTTAATCAGCCCTTAGACTATAACAGAAAAGTAGCTCTTTCCCCATTACAACAAAACACATACTTTCTCCCTGCTGGGCTCCTGTAAAATCCTAAAGATGTTATAAATTGGACGTTCATTTTCCATTGCCCTGATTAGGGTACATCTCCATTTTCAATCAATGCCCACAGAGATCACAAACAAATTAAAACAAGACAAAAACCTTTAGAAACATAGACATTAGCAAAGTCTTCTGTAACTGGCACGAACTATTTGAGCTTGCTTACAACTCGACATGAAGAATTACAAATACAATGCTAGCATTAAAGAGTCAGGTGTGACTATACATGATGTCATGTACTTTTGCTTTTAATTTTAATTTGAGTGTGGTTGGATGTGGAGGCTTGAATGAGAACTGTGAACATTGAAGGGCAGGTGGGGCGTGCTGTTTGGAAAGCGAAGGAAATGTTAGAAGGTGAAGCCTTGCTGGAGGAAAAACACTGCTTAGAGCAGGCATTGAGAGTTCCCAGTCCAGCTTCACTTTCAGTTCATTCTGCTTAACACCTGTGTTGAAGATGTGATCTCTCAGCTTCCTGCCTCACTCGGCTGCTGTTCCCCAGCCCGTCCTCTGGCCATCATGGCGGACTCTCTCTTCTTTAAGCTGGCCATTGCACCATGAGACTGAGCGTGCGACAGCTGTGCTTAGGTACTCACGCTTTCCACAACACTGGGCTCCTCACTACTCTGTCAGAGAACAGGGAGGTTGATGGGGCCCGACACTTTCCTGGGGATGTATAATCCGCTAAAGGCTGTTAAGGAGAGGAGAGTCATTTCCTTCAGTGTGGTGAGGCACTCCTGGAAACAGTCCTAATAAAGTTCTTGCCCCCACCTCCTTCAAAAAAGACATGACAGTAGAGAAGAGGCTAGTGGGAAACAGGAAGGGACAAGGGTGCAAGTTGGGTCAGGACAGCAGCAAGAGGTGAATATGAGTGAAATTCATTGTGTACAAATATGAATTCCATTGTGTACAAATATGAATTATTTTTATAATTTTCTTTTGGTATTGTTAAGTATTAGTTCATCTTCATGTAGCAAAATAAAAAGGTAATAGTATACTCTTTTACTATTCTACAAGAGTGAAACACATTTCCAAACTTTCCACCTGACCTCACCGAAGGTCCAGCCATTTATTAAGATTAGCCATGAACCTATCCTGCCCTTACTGTTTACAGTGTTATCCCTATTCACTGGCCTAGAAGACAAATTGCCTCTTCCCACTCCACACTGCAGTGTGGAATGTCACTCATTCTCACCTGGAGGGTTTGAACAGCTCTCTCTCTGCCTATGAGCCTTTCCAGAGACTTGGCAGTGTTTCCAATGTGGAGGGACTTAGGTTTCCTTGAAGTACTCAGTGTAGAATCAAAAAAGAGACAACCCTTGTAGTTAGGAATTTTATATCCTTGCAGACCCAGAAACCTTACCACAGCCATAAGCAAACATCCTTCGGATGCTCAGCAGCCAGAGCACTTCTGTCCCTCCAGCTGCGGATACCCAGACCGCCTGACACTCTATGCTCAGAGCTACAATTAGGTTGGTGGATTTGCTCCCCTCAAGGGGAGCTTCTGACAAGGTGTTAAGAAATGGTGTTACCTGTAAAATCCCTTGAGGTTCACTCTGTCCTTTACCAGGTCAGCTGCTTGAAGGATAATAATATTTCTTAATGCTTTTCCTGCACAAGAAGAATTCTCTCCATAAATCTAAGCAGAAAAGAAAAATAATCTTGTAAATGTAGAACAATAACGTGACAGCCTGTGAGCTCCCAATGCATATAAAGAATCACGACCAATTCCCTAAGTTTCAGATACATTTTAGCCTAGGAAGCTACAAAGGCCAATAATTACCTTATTTCATTTTAGCTGCTGGTCCATTTAAGCTATTAAACTATAATAGCTATTTTCCAAATGTAAAGGACTTAACTATAATCATAAGCAATGTTCTCTTAAAAGACGAAGTTTTCAGAGTGGAATTTCCACATTGTGAACATAATGTTTCAGTCACTGCAGCACACTGGGGTCATCTGATCTATATAGATTAATCACAACCAAATCGTTTAATCTACTGACTTGGCCCATTGATAATCCATGCACGTAAAAGCCCTTGGAAGATACTTCCCTGCTTAGCAAACAACCAAAAGCAAGATGCAATGCCAGGGCACGCTACTTTGCCCTGAAGCTCCACTCAACGGCAGAGTTCACAGCTGACTCCAAATGTTCTGGTGTGATCTGCAGTGCTTCTGTTTTATCTTTCAGAAAGAGATATCACTGAACTTCTCTCCTTAATCTTCCCATTCCTCCCTCTGAGTCCCTGGTCCTTGGAGAGAAAGGGAGGTGCCTCTTGGAGAGCTCTCGGCCCTGTTTTCAAAAGCACCTCCTTTTCTCTGTAGTACTTTCTTCTTTAGCACAAGGCTGTATTTCAGAAGCCGAGGAGGCAAAGTGCAATGGGCTAACTTCATGAAGTAAATAAATGATCGCGAAAATCAGTGTACACTGCTCTATGCTCACAGCTTCCTGTTTGCTCCCCTCTGCCTGTTGTGACATTTATTTATCTCTATATTAATTTTATGGCTATGAGTATTTTTTCCTGCATGTATTTTTGTTTGTATGCATGCTGTACATGTGTGTGCCCAATGCTCTGAAAGTCAGAAGGTATCCGATCTCCTGAAACTGGAGTTATAGATGGTCGTGAGTCACCATATGGATGCTGGGGATCGAACCTTCGTTTTTTGGAAGAACAGCTAGTGCTCTTAATTGTTGAGCCATCTCTTCAGTCCTATTAGATTTTTGTCAGACTCCTTTGTCTGGCTATGCTAGTTTTGAGCATGGGCTTTGTAAAGCAAGGTAAGTGCTCTATAACCTCAGGCCCTCTTAGTAACTCTTTCTTACCTACAAATAGTTTATATTATCTCTTAAAACAAACAAATTGATAATATATTGGTTCTGACTTGCTAGAAAGTAATATGTCATCACTTGAATACAATCTGATGAGAAGAGGGCCAGAAATGATTCCCTGCGAGCATGTTTTAAAAATCAGATCTTGAACAAGCTACATGGTAGAGAGTTACTGAGGCAGAGGCATGAGTCAGCAGATGCTTAAGCAGTCCTGACATCTACAAGGTTCACTCAGTGAGTCATTTAATAAGTAGCTGACAAGCACTCGCTCTGCTCCAGGTGCATGACACAGGAAAGAAGAAGAGAGAAAAGGTCTCGCCTCAGTCCTCTGTGAGCACAGAAGGGACAATGCCCTTAGAGGTAGCTCCACATACATCTCCTCTTACTAAAGTCCTCTGTGCAATGTACTTATAAACTCTTGTGTTTCCGTCCATACAAAAACTACAGGATGCATGTGTACTCTACCACCTTGACGGCTTACTGCAGAGCAGGTGGAAAATTGATGTGTCTTATGTCACAAGCATCCTGAATCCTGACAATGATCAGGGAATCTAATCTTCAAGGTCTCCCTGGCGGAGAGGATGGTGTGATGAGTACATTATCCCTGCAAAACTCCGGGAGGTCAGGCAGCTGTAACCCAAAGTTCTCCACTAGCATCTGTGAAACACCATTATAAACACAGAGACGAAAAGAAAAAGCAGTTTCATACCTGGGAAGAAGTATGTTCAAGGTATGGGTTGGAAATTCTTCTTGAAAGAGTCTATTTTAAAAGAAAAGGGAAAGGAGGGAAATTAGACTCAAACAGATACCTTGAATCAAAAAAAAAAAAAAAGCAAAGCACATGTAAGTGTCAGGCCTAGTGTCTATAAAAGATTAGTTTAATAAACCTCAAGTCACAGGTCACCTTCACTCCAGTCAGGCAGGACATTCCACTCGAAGGGCTCCTGCCTCCAAGAGTGTAGCCTGCAGCAGTAAGGCAGGAAGCTGTGCCTAAAGTCACAGCTGGGACTGGGATTCCATTGCTCTTGCACCACCCCCATTCAGCCCTCTTTCACTTCTACCTCAGAGGCCGCTTCAGCCTCTCAATAGGTCTTTCTGTCCTTCAGTTCCGCTGCCCCCACACCCACCCAGCAAACACATCTCCAAAGTCATCCTCCCTCTTAAAGTGAGTCACCAGTAGCTGAGAGGGGTCAACTCAAGGCCCTCAGCCCCACAGTCTTCATGTGTTATCTCTCTTCAATCCCACAGGGACTTTCTCACTAAGATATAGGTGCCCCTGGGACACAGAGAGGATATTGTAGATTATATTCAGAATAGGTTTACATACGTGAGACTGATGAAAATAAAGAATTTAGAGGATCTAAGTGTCGGACACCAGAGAGACAGATCACTTGCTAAAGTCCTTGCCTTGCAAGCGTATGGACCTGAGTTTGATCCCATAACCCATTTAAAGAAAGAAATGGGCATGGTGGCATACATTTGTGAGCCCAGAACTAAGACGGCAAAGACAGGTGGATTCTTGAGATTCACTGGCCAGCCAACTTAGTGTACTTGGCAAGCTGCAGACCAGTGAGAGACCACATCTCAAAAATCAAAGCGGTTAACATCTAAGAATGATCCCAAAAGCTGTCTTCTGGCCTCCACATACAATCATACATGTGTCCGCACATGGGCACACAAAAGTATACCCACCCACAAACATATGCACACATGTATGTTAGAGAAATCTGCTGCTCACATCCCTACCTAGTCATAGCATTTTCTATTCAAATCCATTGTCTTCCATGATGGACCCACAGGACCTTGGAATCCAGGTTTCCACTCCTCCCACACAATTCTAATCCAGCCTGACTCTGCTTAGCTTCTAAGACCAGGTAAGATCCTATGTGTTTAGCAGGATAAGGCCATTGACTGGACAGTTCTCTCTTCAGCAAAGTTCCACCAATGGGAGCGGGGGCTGAAACTCTTCGGAGATCTTTGTTTGGTGTCATTTACCCTGCAGAACTTGTGCACCCCACATTGTGGTACATACAGGATCTGTGCGAGTACCCTATGGTGCTTCGAGCACATGGCACCAAGCATACAATGTTACATAAAGACGTTTGTGTTTCCATTCATTTACTTAGCTCTTTATATATCACATATCAACTAAGGGTTTGCTGAATGTTTGAATCGTGGGAGCTAATTTTCCCCACCTAACAATCTAGCCAGCAGCTCAGTCACCCACAGATGCTTCACCACAATGGAGACTCATTATCGCGTCCCACTGCGGTTCAGGAAGAACAGAGAAACTAACATTTACTAAGCTCCCAACCCATGTTTAAGGGCTCTTTACACCTGGGCACTCAGATTTGATGCTTATGAGAGCCCAGTGTTTAGCCTGCCACCTCCACTCCGTAGAACAACGTGCTACACTTACCAACACCCCCGCTAGTCATCACTTTGTGCTATGTGAACCTTCTACCAAATTTCAACCTAAAAAGGAAATGCCTGTTCTGAGACTTTCCCACTCTCGATAGCTCCCACACAAATTATCCTCGGGTCAAATAAATGAAAGTATTGACTCTTTATCCAGAAAGGCTAAAGGATGCTGTGCTAAAGATTTGCAAGAAATTTTTGTAAGTCAGCCCATTTTCGATGCCCACCATTCTGGCCTTGCCCATGCAAACTCTCAAGCCCTCGGCAGACCTGCCATCAGAGCCCACACAGCACTGAATGATTTAAAGCTTACATAGACACCAGATTTCCCCATGGTAATGAGTTGTCATGACAAGTTATTTTTTTATCCAGACCAAGGAGAGTTTTTGGGAAAAAACAATTGTGACAGAACAAAACTGACAATCTTCATGTATTCATCAAATTGTTTCAATCAGTTCAAAGAACAAGTTTTTCACATGAGCTAGTCCAAGAGAAAGCCTTCCTTAAGGAAAAAAAAAAAAAAAAACTGGGCAGGAATATTTTCACAAAGAAACAAACCACTTGCCTTTCTCTCCACTGCCATCCTAAACCAGGCAGCTCTCAGGGTAACAGTCACAGGATCCGGCTAAACAGAAGCACCCTCCCCCAGAGCCCTTTCTAAAGACAGGTAAGGAGAGTAGGTGAAGTGATGGGGCTCCTGTGCTGGAAAGATAAGGTGTTAGATAAGCTTCTAGTCCCTGGGGAATGACAGGCAGCATAATAAGGTTTGTCTCTCACAGAACACAATCCTATTGATGCCCAGGGGAACCATGTGTCACTAACACCAGGGATAGCAGCCCTCAGAGCAGGAAGTCACAGAGCTCTTTGTGGATCTCAGTGAAGTACTGACCCATTAAACTTCAAATAACTTTCTAACTGCTCTTGTAGAGACTACTTCCTGTTAGGGTTCCATGCTGACCAAAGTATCAAGCTATAAAGACAAGGTAAGAAGAACATGGGGTTCCCTCATCACCTCAGGGTTAAGAGGTCCAGGAGAGGCCTGCTTCTTCATTGAATGTGGGGACCACCATACAGGTAAGTCCCAGAGGACTGCTCTCCAGCCTCGACAAGATCTGCCCCTAATCCTTGGCTTACCTGTTATTACCCCACCTTTTAACACCCTGGTCTCACTTCTTCACTAGGCACACACGCTTCATCTTTTGAAGCTTATGACTGGTTCCTTCTATTTATTTCACACTAATGAAGCACTTACTTTGTTGCTTGAGACATTGTGAAAGCTTCTAAAAACAAACACAAGAACAAAAATACTCCCTGATTTCTACAACTCCTTTACCAGAAGATACTCTTAATCCTGAAATTTTTCAGAAAAAAACCCAAAAAACAAACAAAACAAAACAAAACAAAAAAAAAACAGTTCTAGCATTTTGGCTTAATTTAAGGAAGCTTTTAAGAAAAATTTTAAATACTGACCAAGATGGAATTTGGTCAGGACCATCACCAGGGAACTTTCCAGGTGAACGGCCTTGAGACATATGTTGGTGGGGCTTATACAAACAAAGACCCATAGGGGTAAGCACACTTACCCATGATGCTTTGTTGTTAGTTTCCCAGAGCTCCAATCCCAGGATCCCAGGAAGTTACCTGGTCTTTGGGCAGGTGGGGCTTACAGGTTAATTTCGGGTTTAACAACACAAGCTATAAGCTTTAAACCCTTGAATTCTCTCTTCTTGCTCCTGATTTTCTCATCAGCTTGCTCCATAACCTCAGAGGGCCACTCTATTGATGCCCAATGTCTTGCTGTGGTTGGTCTGGGTGGGGATTGTGACAGGGCAGCCTCAAACTCATGATTTGCCTCCCAAGTGCTGGGATTATAAAAGAGTACCACCTAAGTGTCCTCTCTTTAAATGGCTTTCAACCATTATTATCTCATAAATAAAATGAACAGAAAAGGTTATGGTTCCTTTTCCTGCTCATTTCCAACTGCTAGGAATTACTCATTATGGGTGCACTGATTCGGAAAGGCATAAACATCCCACAGACAGCCTAACAACATGAATGAAAATGGACTTTAGTTCAAAATCTTTTCCACCTTTTTAATTTATTTTAAAAATTGGTTGATTGATTTTATGCATATGAGTGTTCTATATGCAAGTAACGCCAGAAGAAGGCATCAGATCCTGCTATAGATGGTTGTCAGCCACCCTGTGGTTGCTGGGAATTGAACTCGGAGCCTCTGGAAAAGTAGGCAGGGCTCTTAACCGCTTAGTCATGTCTCTAGGTCCTCTCTTTTATTTTAATGAATAACAGAAAATAGTTCTTTAAATGAACCCACAGAAATTTAATATTTTAAACATGGATTAGAGACCTGCAGTCCTTTATTTTACACTAATGAATCATCAAGAAGAGGAGTGATGTCCTAACTCAAAAAAACAATTGATCAGCAGCCATGTTACTGCCTTTTAGGTGTGCCTACGAAAGTGAAGCTACAACTGTCCAGGAGCCAACCTGGAAGTCACTTGCATTGTGTGTGTTGTTATTAGTACACACCTGGAAGTCTGGACACGGAGTCTTACTAAACTAGAGTGATGGAGGAAGGTCATTGGTTAAAAAATAAAGAAACTGCTTGGCCCTGATAGGTAGAAAATTAGGTAGGCGGAGTAAACAGAACAGAATGCTGGGAGGAAGAGAAAGTGAGCTCAGAAGCCATGCTCCCCTCTCTCGGACAGATGCGATGAAGCAAGCCACCAGGTCAGACGTGCTGAATCTTTCCCAGTAAACACACCTAATGGTGCTACACAGAATATTAGAAATGGGTTAGATCAATATGTAAGAGCTAGCCAATAAAAGGCTGGAACTAATGGGCCAGGCAGTGTTTAAAAGAATACAGTTTGTGTGTTGTTATTTCGGGGCATAAGCTAGCTGGCGGCCAGGAGTTGGGTGGCTGGAACGCAGCCCGCAGCTCCCCCAACACCAGAGACATGGGGTTCATGTTTCATCAGCTCTTAAAGGAGATGTCTCAACACTACCCTTAGATTCCATTTAGGTTGCCAAGGAAAGAGATTCCATAAGAAGAAACACTGACTCCCTTCAATCACACAGACTGCCCTATCACTAGAATGAGCCCACAAGGCGACCCAGACCGACTGGTGACGCGGCCACTGTCCCAGTCCCATTTGGAGTGAACACACAGACTATGAAGGTGGACTCATAGGATAAACACACTGAACATCACAACCTAGGAATCCAGAAAGTTTCATAATTAACTAGTGGTCACATAAGTCATAAACTAAAACAATAAAGGCTGTCACTTTCTGGCAACGTCTAAGACTGTGGATTCTTCTT